TATAAACCGTCTGGGGCACTTGTTTCATGATACTGTATTAAGTTGCTAAAAAAGAGAGAATTCTGAGTTAGTGAGTGACTAAACTGTGTTTTCATCCTAAATAATGATAGATGATTGTAACTGGATTTTCCATTTCTTTCCTGATACCAGCAAAGTGCTATGGGGTTGGAAGTCCTTTAAATAGACAGATGTGTAAACTATAAACGCTTGAATCTTGCTTATTTTCTTCCCAGTGCTAAATGCTAAATTCTAGACAATGGTACCATCTTTGGTCAGCTAGTTGTTTTTGTAGGAAACTTCAGGTATGGAATTTCAGCGCATGGAAGCTTAAATCTCCTTTCTTTATACCATCTCTCTCTCTCTTTTCAAAAATTAAAGCTTTTAGTGATAAAAATAAGTCTAACATGCTGTTTTGTAGTTTTGCCCTATTTAAGATGCTTTCTCAAAAGCGAAACATTCTTAGTTTGAAATAAAATATTATTGCTGACACGAAAGAGACGTCAAAATGAGTTCACATGACACAGCAAAATGAGTTTTAAGGCAATATAAAATCTCTTTGCTTCTCTCTATGTAAAATAAATGTTTCTGTCTATTGATCTGAGATCTAAAGTGCCTATTGCCATCCTACCAAAGTAGAAAGAAAATACACTTCCAGTAAGTCTAAGAGCTTAATAAAAGTATCTGATTATTACAGTGTAAAATTCCTTTACTGTGATTACCACCTGGTGTATGTGAATATACCTGCTTGTAAATTCATATTTGCTGATAAAACTAAATAGATAAATAAAATAAATCTTTTCACAATATTCTTGATTATTTCTATTAACTACTTAAAATATTTTAAGGATATTTCGTCACGTTCTACCTGCTCTGGGAAGGTATTTTAAGAATTTGTCATAGAGAACTGAATGACAAACTCAAAGACAAATGGAGTTGCACTGCATGGACTTAAATAAAATTAGTAACTTTCAGACTGGCATGAGCTGGGTAGAATTTGAAATACGAGATGAAAAATCTGTAATTATTTACCCTCCTTCTCAACCTATATTTTATTAGTTTCCAAAGGCAGCAGAATGGTACATCAAATACCTCTCTGAACCACAATAAGACAGTTATTCTGTGTTTTCCCTAAAGTTTATGACTTCATCCTTGGAAGCATTTTATGTCTTATTGATGCTAATTGCAAGTGCTATTCTATTTAAAAGAGCATGTTTTGTATAAAGCCTATCCCTGAGATTTTATCAAAAATTCTTCTAGACTCTGCATAAAATTCCCATATGAGAAAATAAAGGGTCAGCAAATATTCTTATGCAATTTGGTCTTATTGGTTTCCCCGAAAGTGGAGCTAATTCTCAATGTTGGGGAGTTTGTTTACTTGGAAAAATTTTTGATTCAAGTTGCCAAATTATTTTTCCCAAAAGTTTAAAAACAAAACAAGACAAAAGAACTCAAACAAGAATAAGAAACCTCCACATACTGATTCTCATGTAGTAAAATCATGACTTGGTATCAAATCCCAGCTTTGACATAAACAAAGTATGTTAACTTGGGCAAGTTATTTAATCTTTTTTTTTTTTTTAGCTTCTGTTTCCTCATCTGCAAAATGGATGCAAACATTTTATCTACATATAAGTTGTAAGCATTAGCTGAATAAATTGAGTATGTGTCAGGGAATTTGGTTTCATCAAACTTATTTTTCTTTCCTCTGAGTTCACAGGTGGGCTGCTTTCCTCAGCCTCCTTTGCAATTGGATATGGCCATTAGGGGTATGAGGGGAGATAATACGTGCCTTTCCCATATATGGCCTTTAATATCCACTTGCATGACCCACCAATATCTCTTTCTCCATCTGCTGATGGAAAGAACTTTTAGGATCAGATGGTAGCCATGTGGTGGAATTTGCCTGGATTCCTAAATGACCTTGTGGTGTGGATTATTTGCTAAAGAGGAATATCCACATTAGAATTTGTATGAATCGGTGTACCTGGGTGGTTCAATTGGTTAAGCCACTGCCTTCGGCTTGGGTCATGATCCCAGAGTCCTGGGGTCGAGCCCCATGTCAGGCTTCCTGCTGCACAGAGGAGTCTGCTTCTCCCCCTCCCCCTGCTCATGCTCTCTCTCTCACTCACTCTCTCTTTCAAATCAATGAATAAAATCTTAAAGAAAAAAAAGAATTTGTATGAATGAAATATAAACTTATTTGAAAGTCGACAAGTTTTGGGGATTTGGGGGGCGTGGCTGCTAACATTATTAACCCTAACCTGCAAAGAATATAAATTCCTAATTAGACTAAGAGTTCTAGGGAAGCAGTGATCTCTCCCATTCGTTGTGCTCTCCATCATGTGAATGAACGCAGCACCTATCACATGGTAAAGTACTCAAAAGAGGAATGAAAATATGAACCACTAAAAAAATAATTGCAAAGCCGTCTAGACATGTGTGCTTTATAAATCACAGCTATTTTCATTGTATTATTTTATTCTGTTACTTATTTTGTTTTATTTATTATATTATTTTATTTGTAGTCAAAAGAATTTAATTCCCTTCTGTGTTGATCATTTTCCTTACTCAGGCTTTTATGCTTTTGGGGGAAGAGTACATTTTCCACCTTACAGACCTGGTCTCTAGCTTCCACACAGCAAAAGTACTCCTAATCTTTTGTAGAACATGGCTATTTTTGTCAAAGTATGATTATATTCCAAGACTATTCATTTTAATGAGTTACTTTTTTCAAGTGAGTTATTATTCAAATCCGTATAAAGTTCTGAGACTCATGCCTGGCACACAGGTTGTGCTATCTACATGTTTGTTAAAAAAAAAAAAAAAAAAGGTGAACTGTCATCTTTATACTTATTTTGCATTTCTCCTTCTAGTCCAAAACAAATTATTTTTTTCATTTATTTTTAGCTTTCATATGAGGTTGTTTTCACTTATACTTGATGTGACTGCGTCCTATTAAAATCATGTTTGACTTTTGGCACAAAGACACTTCTGTTGGAGTTCAAGCCTTATCATGAACGTAAGAATTGCTCCCTTTCAAATTGCTGCAGAGCATCACTTGCAAGCTTTAGATTCAAGGGTATACTCTAGCCATCTCAAGGTGACTTGTCGCATTTCTTCTCAACACTGTGTTCAGTGACCTTGTACTGGTAGCTTGACATCAGCCACAGGAGGAGTATTTACACCATGGAAACTGGCAGCTTCTATAAATCAGGACTTTTTAACTTCTCTCAGACACACTGCCTTGTCCTCCTGCTCTTTTCGGACAGCCAGTTGTTAAACATTTACCAACACATCTCTGTGAAACTGCAGTTTGCAAATCCTACATGAGGTTACACTATAAGACAAACACAAATCCGGGTAGCAGCTGATAGGCAGCAACTCAATACCAAAGAAAAGAAAATGGTTCCAGAGTTTCTTCTGTTCATCTGGAAATTTTCATGATGCCTAAAAAATAATAGGTCGGAAGTGCTTGTTGAATAAATTACACAATTTGAAAATAACAATACTTCAGTTAGGATAATAATTGCTAAATTTAATGAGCACCTACTAGATGCCAAAAACTATTTTAACGATTTATAGAATCCTCAGAAACATGCTATGAGTTAAACATTAACACCTTCAGTCTGCATACATAAAATTTGAGGGAGGAAAACCTCAGGGCTGAGAGCTAAATGTATAATTATATTGTTGAATAGATGCTTAATTTATGATTCTGTATATTTCAGATACAACCAACATATCTGACTTTTCCTGAAAAAAAAATTGGAATATCAAGCAGGAGCCCACCAATTGAATGGCGAATCAAGTGAAGCATAGAGGATTTACATAAAAAAAAAAATTTATGTTTTGATGAAGTGTTAAGTATTTAGTTCACCACTTTCCTCTACCCCTGAATGTAATTTTACACTTGGGTAATTTGCCTCAGGTTTGTGAGCTTTCTGTTCTCTAGAATCAGTTGAGGCTCTCCTTTCTGAAGTAATACCTGAACCCAATTCCAAAGCCTGTGCTCTTAACCAATATGATATAAAATGAAAGATTAATGCATACTATAAATTTAGAGATCTCAATTTATCTTTGTTGCTATTATTGTTATGTCTAATATGATACATCAATACATATGTACACATTGTTGCGCATATGTCCATCTATTTTAGTACACACACATAAAATCCATACCTTTATAACTGTCAAAAAAGCTAACCAATAATGCTTTCAAAACGATTCAGAAAGCATTGATCTGGTTGAAGATATTTCCATCTCAGCACCTGCCTCCTAACTGAGCAACCAGTTCCTATTAAAATTCAGATTCCCAATCTATTCACTCAGTCCAGGCTTCTTATGTATGATGTTGCTATTATATTTCTTGAATACACTTAATGGCTCTGGCATAAATCAAATCCAATCTATACATCTATTACACACATGCATATCAGATAGCAAATACTATTATAATGATATTGATGTTATTTTAGATGAAGTTTTCCCACTATTTGATTATTATGATGCAAATGTTATGGAGACGGCTGGCTCCTTCCTCATTTCCAGGGAACACAGGAGGGAAGATAGAATAACATAATCAAGACGGAAATCCTCAGCAATTATTTCCGGTGGGTGGAGGTGATGTCTGAAGAACAAAAGAGAACCTTTATACAACAGACCCTTCATCTCTGAGCTGAAACACCTTTCAGCAGCTTCTGACCATTCCACAATTTTGTTTACCTGTCATCCACAAAGACAGCTTGTGGGCTGGGTATTTTGGAGAAAAAAACAAAACAAAACAAAACAAAACAAAAACATGTTCTACCCAAGATGATTTCCAAGCATACTCATCAGCTTCATTTTCTTATGGACAGAATAGAGGATCAGAAGATGAGTGAAACAGAGGATTTGTAATGTACTTTAATTTCACATAGGAAGACTGTTATATAGCCAGGCATGGAGAAATTTTCCGTCTATCTTAGCCTAAGTCTAAAAATAACTAGAGGGGGAAGAAACTAAGAGGCTTTTTAAAAAAAAATTCTAAGGCATTTGTATCATTTTAGAATATAGCACACGGACTGTATCAATGCCCGGTATCACTAAACTATGGTGATATCACTACCCATACCAGTCAATTCCGCGTCCCGAGGAGCTGAGACTTGGACTCGAGCAGCACCGGCCATGCAGGGCTGAGAGGTAAAAGTAGACATTTGTGTTTTCAAGCACAGGTTGCTCAGGTTTGTTGTGGCTTGAAAGACAAATGGCCTCATCCTCAGAGACCCTGTGACTTGTGGACGTTAAAGGTAAGTCCTGAGGCTGGGTTGACAGTTTTTTTAAACAGAAGCCTTCCAAAATATGTAAATTGCAGTACCTTTTCTTTTTTCTTCCCTAGCGTTCTCTGTATGTGTGGAAGCTTGACTAGGATTCAGTGGTGAGTGTTATTTATAGGCATGAGTCATCAGTGCCCTGAAATGGTTAACAAGCAAGCAGCTAACTTACCCAAAGTGAGAAAACCTCTGGGGAGAATCTGGTTTCCAGATAATAATGACTCATTCTAATACTCTTTTATATAGCAAATAACACATTATAACAAATGATGTCCTCTCCCTTCACACACACACACACACACACATACACACACACAGCAGCTAGTGATAAAATAATATGGATACCATTTCTTTATCTGCTTATTGTGTGAATATTTACCAGAACCTCCAGATGTCATAAAGGCTGGAATACTTGATGGTCTATTTGCTTACGTGGCTGCATTAAAGTTGATAGTTAGAAATACAAGGGAGGTCAAAAAATTCAGCAATATTAGCTTCTAGCAGAAGAGAAACAGCGACTGAAGGGCATGTTCTGTTTTGCTCACAAAGTAATATGATACACTTTACTCCCACCTGCTTCTCTGCACTCTGAATTATATGCTCCTTTCACGCCCACCCACATGGACTCTTTGCTTAATAACTGTTCTACAGTGAATCTCTTGACTGTCCTTTATTCTATGAAATGCCGTGTCATAATATTTAATGCCATTAAATTGATCCTTATATGATAAGCTGATTAGTTGTTTGAAGCCCCGCTGAGAAGTAAAAGAATAAATATTAAAGTAAGTGGTTATTACTGAAATTCAGTCCTAATGAATTTTAAGCTTCAATCAGGTTTTTATTTGATAGTGAGGTTACAAATGGAACATCAACAATTATTAAAAACCCAAGAAAGTGCATATTATTGAGTGATTGTTTACTATTATGTCTTTCACTTTTAAAGGGCTGATGCGACAGTGTCTCTGCTCATAACATTTCATGGTTATTAATGATGGGATCCTGTGGCATAGACAGCTTGCTCTCTTTTCATTCCCAACAGTAACAGAATAGAATATAGAACGACATAAATAAAACGAAGACCCTAGGCAAATGTTTCTGTGAGGGGTCAAGAATAAAATAAAATTGAAAAATTACTCAGTATCATTCTGTCAAAGCCACAGGAGAGAAAAAGCCTGAGTTGAACTGTAGAAGGGAAGAAAACAATACAGTGCATCAAGTTTCACTTTTGCATTTGCTCTCAGGAAGCATAACTAAAACGGAGTTTTAAATTACAATCAGCTCACTGTAGACTCACTAATTTACCCTCTTAAGTGCATTCAGAGAACCCTGTGCCCTTTTTCAAATTCTCTCTAATTTCTTCTCTTACATGGCATTTTAATGTCTATGGCAACTCAAATTTTTTAAAGTGGTCCGGATACAAAAAAAAAATAAGTGAGTTTATGTAGGTTTTATGTTAAGTGTATCAATGCCTACAAAGACAGCAAATATTAATTGATCATATATTATATAACCACGCATTGTCCTATAAGACTAGCAGACATTAACTCAATCCTTACAAAAATTCTATATACTTCATTTTTTTAAATTTCTTGAGCACTAGTATGACTTTTAATCATGTTGAGCATTTAATATTTTTCTAATTAGAAAATAAACCAAAAGAATGCTAAGTTATTAGCCAGAATCTAGTAAGATCACAAGTACCACTCTTAAATACTTGGGATAGTCACAGAACATGTGGACTCATCTATTCCAGAGGACAGAATATGGCATGCCCCTTAGCACTTCCCCAGAAGTCCTTAGAATGTCATAAGCTAGAGTCAGAAATCCTTTATTGCATTATCAATAAGGCAAGTCACAACCACAAAGATGAGTGGAATTAGTTAGGATGACAGGATTAAAGAGGATAATTAAAAGACATAGAAAATCAATACCGTTTGTACAGTATTATATGGAAAAGTTCAGTATTAAAACTTCAGCTATGAACCAATGGAACAGGACATTAAAAAATAAGGGATAGAGCAGGGAATCAACCGAGGAGAAAACCTAGAAAAATGGGGAGAAAGGAGAAAAATTGTAAACATCACATTTCTGATTATAAAAAAAAATCTATTTTAGAGAGCAAAAGTAAAATATTGTTTAATCCCATTGGTACACTCAGCCATTAACTATGAGGTCATAGGTTTTTAAATTTTGTTTTTCATCTTGATTTTACAACTCTCATTTGGACATTCAGATGAGTTAGTCATGCATATTATGTCATACAAACTTACATGAATTTCTTTTTTTTCTCTACTTTGAAGGCAACCCTCTTGGTATCTAAAGAGACATGCAGAACAATGTGACAATTAGAAAGTTTTTGTTACAAGTTATTAATAATTCCCTTTTTAACTCTAGCTAAAGGCATAAACACAATGTTAATGACAAGAAAGCTATAATGTGATATGATGTATCACTAATACGATGGAAAATTATACTGTAAGATTTTTATATATCATTAATGGATTTAATATAATGGGATTTTCATGCAAGATCAAGCATTGTCCATAATGCCTCTGGATAAAAAGCAGTGCTATGTTTCATTCTCATAAATAGCATCATAGACACATCACACATGATCCTTGAATATGAAGGTTTATAGCCTAAAGAGAAAATGTTGCAGCTTCATGATATTTAGAGTTTAAAGGTTTTTATTAGAAGCTTTATTGATTAGGTTGTGCCTCAGATTAAAAATCCCCTGTAAATTTGGAGAAGCATATGTCTATTATTATTCTACGTTTACCTGTATGTAATTTATGAATAGTATTTACATGTATTTTATAAATGACACTTTCTAAAATTTTAATATTTAAGATTCAATTGATGGATTCATTTTAAGCATGATTAACAGTATGCACTTTAAAAGTAAAATTAAAGTGTTCCATTAACTTAATATTTTAAGAAACAATAGACATTTTATATGAAGAAAAATTAAACACATTAATTTATTACTGGGATGAGTTGAAATATCCTTTTTCTTTTTTTATCTTTTTTTAGAAATTTATTTGACAGAGAGAGCGAAAACAAGCAGGGGGTGTGGCAGGCAGAGGGAGAAACAGGCTCCCCACTGAGCAGGGAGCCCGATGTCGGACTCGATCCCAGGACTTGGGATCATGACCCGAGCCGAAAGCAGACACTTAACCAACTCAGCCACCCAAGCGCCCCAACTTCATTTCTCTTAAGGTCACTGATGTCTCTTTTTATTTGTCCTCAGTAAAACCACAGAATTATCCAAGTTACACCTTTGTCTTATGTATAATTTTTCAGTGTTGTCTTCTTCAAAGAGAGCAATATACATAATCAGAGAAAAATCCATTGGTTCCTAAGGCATCTGGCTGGAGCTCTGGATACTGCAAAAGTTCACAGGGACCCACTCCAACCCTTTAATTTGCAAAGGAGTGATCTATGTAAATCTGAGTTTTATGGATCCTGAGAGACCTCTGACAACTTTTTGCAAATATCCCAGATAAACTATCAAACTCACTGGACATCCATAGGAACACCCATAAATTCCTTGTGGGTCTCTTGAGGTTCCTTCTGAATCCTGAATCCTGTAAGGATTGCTTGGTTTAGCCATTTAAGAGCTGATGAAGTTTTTGTATGGAAAAATAACATAGGTTTTATGGTGCCTATGAGGCTTCACACTACTTTCTGCAATTAGCACAAATGTTGAATTAACAGAAGAGTCGATGGAAAAACTCATCTGGACTGCTCTCAGTTTATGGTTTATCTCTTCCGGGGTTGTTTTGTACCAGGGGCACCCAATTATTTAGTGTTGAAGGAGTTGCTGTATTTCTACTAGTTTTTATATCCTTAAGGGGAAATGTAACTGTGGAATGGAGGGGATGAGAATAAAAGTGAAAAGTACTAGCATGGGATTCTGTTTGGTAAGGGCATGCAGAGGCTTTCAGTATTTCAAAAACAGAAGTTTCTTTCATCAGCTTTGCTCTGGCCTTTCCCTGGCCATCCACAGTAAGATGCCTGCGGACCCCTGGAATTTGTGATCCTTACGAAGACATAGTCAGAGACTGTGACTATACATATCTGTTTTCCATCCATCACTGAGCATTTATGGAGCCCTGGTCCAGATCCATTCCTGCGTTTTCCAAGTTACACCTTGGAAATATGGTAAGCCTATAAAACTCTGTGTTTTTATGTACCTTACTTCTAACCCGGAAAGGCTGAACAGTGAGTTCTTGATCTCACAAGAAGTAACATGCTACATGGAGAGATGGCTGTACAGTGAAAGATAATTGGAGACATGTCAGAGATCATTTCTACTCGGGGCTGATCGCAGGACCCTGAGAGGATGACGTGAGCCAAAATCAAGAACCAGCTGCTTAACTGACTGAGCCACCCAGGCACCCCTGTCAGAGATCATTTTGATAACCACTTCAGCTAGTATTCAAATTTTGTGAATCCTGCTGAAATCCAGAAATGTATTCCAAGTTGGTCATAATACAATTTTATTGTCATAGATTTTACATATTTTATCACTACATTAGCATCAACTAATAATGACAATATGAATAACAGATAATGATGATAAATAATATTTATTAAACAATTAATGTATGGCAGGCAACATCCTAGACTCATTATATGTATTATCACATCTAAGTCTCATTACAACCCGTGTCAACTCCATTTCAGAAAAGAAAAGTCCAGCCTTAGAGACACATGTGAATAATAACTAAGGTGGAATTTGAAGCCTGGTAATCTTATTGTAAATCCTGAACATTTTAATCATTAATTATACCACATTGCTTCTCAGCTGTTTTCTTACACCCATAATATAATTTATCCACTTGTATTTATTAAGCTTTTAAAATTTCTTTTTTAGGCGCCTGGGTGGCTCAGTTGGTTAGGCGACTGCCTTCAGCTCAGGTCATGATCCCGGAGTCCCGGGATCGAGTCCCGCATGGGGCTCCCTGCTCGGCAGGGAGTCTGCTTCTCCCTCTGACCCTCCCCCCTCTCATGTGCTCTCTCTCTTTCTCTCTGTCTCAAATAAATAAATAAAATCTTTAAAAAAATAAATAAATAAATAAAATAAAATCTCTTTTTCATTCTTTTTTTCTTTCTTCCTTTTTTTTTCTTTAACAAGACAGAATGAAAACTCTTCAGTGGTTTATAACAGACATCTTAGCACTTCTAAACAAAAGGACTGCTTACAGTAACAAAATGTGTGGCCTTTCCAGAATTTCCTTCAAGACAAGGGAGTAATTGACAAAGATCTTGTAACTCTGTTATGCACTGTAACTCATGACCATTTCTCTTCTTTGATGTCTATAGCTCCCTTATATAAAGGGTATCAGGCCTCGGGACTCCTCTTGTTTCCACCTCTAACGTCACAAACATTCATTTGAATATTTCCTTTAAGATTTACTGTTTTTAAAATGTTTCTGAATTTATAGTCCTTGTCAAGGCAAAGGGAGGAGGATTCTTTTATTTTCATGTCTGAGGATTTTTTTTTTATTATTTAAAGAGAGGTACATTTTGTGTCTCCAAAGCCATCAGCCTTATAAATTAATTCTTAGCGAGTTTAGTGTCAAACAAACCTCATTTATATTACCTTTCTTGGGCTTGAAAGACCAACAGTTTTTATGAGAAAATAGATAAGATTTGAGAAAAAAAAAGGGGATTACAGAATTCTCTGTAGGAATTCTCCAGATGGCAAGATATCACACATAAATTCTTCTTTAATATGTATTTCTTCATGCTGGTTCCTAAGAAAATAAAACAATGCTTCTGATAACCTAAACAAAAATAGTTTTACTCTTTATGTCTGTGTACTCTTGGCCACTGTGAGTAGTGGGCGAAGCTCGGAAGCTAAGGTCCTTGGCTAACTTGACCACTTCACACCTTGCCTAGGGCATGGCTGTGAACCTGAACCTGACCCTGGTGCCCTCCGTCCCTCACAAACTTCACTTGTTCTGAACTGTTTTCTGTGATTCTTACATTCATTATTTTCAAATTCCTAGCAACTAATAATTTCTCACTTCTTTCCTTCCCCCCAAATTACTTTTCCACATGATTTAAAATCAACTTATTTTATTTTCTTCCTTTTCTTTTTTTAAATTTTGAAATCTTTCTTATGAAAGCATCACTTAATTGTATCAAAAGAATATTCAGATGTCAGCAGGTAAGTGGTCTGTTGTTAATGAGTATTCCATATAAACGTGTGCTAGTGTTTGCATTCTGACAGGTCAAGTCCTATGCCTACACACTCACAAACACTTATTGAAAATACTGTTGCTTTGGAGTGAAATGGAAAAATGCAAGCTGGGAGGCTAGGAATATAGTTCCAAGACTTGCTGGTCCATTTAGAAATCCTAAAGAAACAGAATTTGAAACTTGACTCCACTATTGGAAAGAAGGATCAATTTATCTTTTGCTTCTTTTGAAAATATCACTACAACAACACCACCTAATTCCCTGTATTGTTTGGTGGACTTAAGGTAATATTTGTAAATGTTTGTTAAAACTCTTTAAGCTTTAGAGGTGCCTGGGTAGCCTTGTTGGTTAAACGTTCGACTCTTGGTTTCCACTCAGGGTAATGAGACTGAGCCCCACGTCGAGCCCTGGTCGAGCCCCAAGTTGGGCTCTGCAATGAGCATGGAGTCTGCTTGAGATTCTCTTTTCCTCTCCCTCTGCCCCTCCTGCTCATTCTCTCTTTCAAATAATGAATAAATAAATCTTTTTAAAAAATAAAACTTTTTTTTTTTAATTTTTTATTTATTTGTGAGAGAGAGAGAATGAGAGACAGAGAGCATGAGAGGGAGGAGGGTCAGAAGCAGACTCCCTGCTGAGCAGGGAGCCCGATGTGGGACTCGATCCCCGGACTCCAGGATCATGACCTGAGCCGAAGGCAGTCGCTTAACCACCTGAGCCACCCAGGCGCCCTAAAAAATAAAACTTTTTAAGTTGTAGAAGTTTATACAGTTGTGACATTTTTTATCCTCTTTTTCAGATAAAGTAGTTTGTTACAAAGAAATATAGTCTTCATATCTACACACCAAAGGTTCTTTTCTTTCTTTTTTCTTTTTTTAGAGGAAGAGAGAGAAAAGGGTGGGAGGGGCATAGGCAGAGGGAGAGAAAGAATCTTAAGCAGACTCCACCGTCAGTGCAGAGCCCAACACACGGCACCATCTCACAACCCTGAGATCATGACCTGAGCCGAAATCAAGAGTCAGAGGCTTAACCAACTGAGCCACCCAGGCACCCTCAAAGGTTATTTTCTACCCATGGTTTCTATTCATTATGGAAAAGTCAAATATACCCCAAATTTGAAGTTATGGTATGATGAAAATCCATGTAAGTCATCATTCAGTGTCTCCAGTGATCAACTCCTGGTCAATCTTCTGCATCTGTAGCTTCTCAGGCAAGATTATTATGAAGTAAACCCCAGTCATAGAGCATGATATCTGTAGCTATTTCAGTAGGTATTTCTAAGAGATAGGAAAAATGTTATAAAAAAATCCTTAACCATTATCACATCTAAACCAAATTAATAATAATTACTTTAATATCAAATATAAATTAGTATTTATACTTCCTCAATTGTATCATAACTTTTTTTACAGTTTGTTTATTTGATCAGGATCCAAATAAAGTCGCCACACAACAACAGATAGATATATCTCTTATTCTCTTACAATCTTTCGGTTTCAACTTACTCTCTATTTCTTATTTCAAGATTTATGTTCCTGTTACTGTTAAAAAGAAAAAACAAAAAAACAGACCATTGGATCTATTTCTATACTTTTTATTTTATTTAGTTCAGCTTTATTTACAGTATTTTACAAAAAGCTTTATTAGTTTTACAAATGTGAGACAATTAAAGAATAATTCTTGGAAAGAGCTTACTACATTGTCACACAGTAATGTCTCCATAATCATTAACTTCGGTATATCCCTGATGACAGTTAAAAGTGATTCTTGCTACTCTAAGCGGAAACCAAAGGCAGATCCAGAGTTGACATGGAGTAGTCTGGAGTAGAGTCAGTCTTGTGGGTGAAATTGTTTCCCCCACAATGATACGTTGAAGTTCTAACCTATGGTACCTGTGAACATGACCTTATTAGGAAATACTAGTATCTTTAAAGATGTAATCAGGTTCAGTGGAGGTCATGCACAGTTAAAGTGGACTTTGTTGAAATTCTGAAACTACTACCCATAAATAAAGTTGAAAATTGTATGGAAAGGTTTTCTTAGTGCAGGAAAGATACAATAATACAGAGTTTACTGAAGTTTTAGAATCCTTTTATTTTTTTAGTCTGATTAATGTTAAGAATTGTAGCAGCCTAAAATCGAAGGGAGGCTTTATTCTTTTGTCATGGACAAGTCTGAAGGTGAGCAGCCAAGTTGATATGGGCATCAACAGTCTTCAGAGAGTTAGGTTACCTCCATCTCTGTCCTTCACCATTCTAAGTTGTTTTAAAGAAGGTGAGCAGAAGGTGAGCCTTCTGGTCACCATAACGGCTACTGAAGCAGTCATTACACAACAGCTTCAAGCCTAAAAGAGAAAGAAGAGTGAAATGATTAAAAAGAAGGACTTTCCGGGTGCCTGGGTGGCTCAGTTGGTTAAGCGACTGCCTTCAGCTCAGGTCATGATCCCAGAGTCCTGGGATCGAGTCCCACATCGGGCTCCCGGCTTGGTGGGGAGCCTGCTTCTCCCTCTGACCCTATCCCCTCTCATGCTGTTTCTCTCTCTCTCTCTCTCTCTCAAATAAATAAATAAATAAAATCTTTAAAAAAAAAAAAAAGGACTTTTCTGGGGCACCTGGGTGGCTCAGATGGTTAAGCATCTGCCTTCAGCTCAGGTCATGATCCCAGGGTCCTGGGTTCGAGCCCCATGTCTGGCTCCTGGCTCAGTGGGGAGCCTGCTTATCCCTCACCCTCTGCATCTCCCCTGCTCATGCTCACTCTCTCTCTCTCTCTGTATCTCTCTGTCTCAAATGAATAAATAAAAAAAAAAAAACTTAAAAAAAAAGAATTATAAAAATAAAAAATAAAATAAATAAAAAGAAGGACTTTTCACCTGAGTTACCAATTTTAAGAAAACCACCTTCCCAAAGTGCCTGCATTTTCACATAGACATCATTGGCCAGAACTTGGTCACCTGGTTACATCTAGCTAATCATCCATAAAATATGGAGAAAAACCATCCAGAACATGTATTGGTTTAGTATCACACAGAACAAACTTATTTTTGAAGATGAATGCTTGTAACTAAATTGAAATACTCCAGATGCTGTTTACAATCTAGGAATCAAGACTACATTTGAGACTCTCCTATGAACAACTGGGTGAATTTGACCATGTCGATTCTTTTTTTCCAATGATATCTGAAATATCTATTCTCCCCTCAGCTCCATTTTATACTAGCCTGAACACATTTTGTTTAGCACTTTTACAAGTACTCTCTTTGTCTTCTCCCCTCTCCCATCTCTTCTCTCTCTCTCTCTGTCTCTATGTCTCTATGTCTCTCTGTCTCTCTGTTTCTCTCTCTCTCTCTCTCTCTCTCAATTTTCTCAAAATCTCTCAGCTCTTTGAAGATTCATTTTTTTCTTGCCCAGGATCTGAATTCACATGGTTCATGGTGGAGATTCAGTAAGTATTTGCTTGGTTAATGAATTAATCATTTTAAAGGAAATCTAAATATGCCCACATTCAAACAGGATCATACATTATGTATTTTCACATACAAAAATTTTGATATTATAAACACTTTCTGGTGACATACTTAATTGATATACTTAGTATCAATTTCTCTAAAATGAAGCTTTCTTTGCTCATTTGACTATAAAACAAAAATAGACTTAATTGCTCCACTCTCAAGGCAAAGCACTATAAATCTTAGTTAGGTAGTCCCTGAAGGATTACACACAATCTCCTGACAATGAAAATGGCTACAATTAAGTAGGGACTTCCTTCATCAAAGTTTAAGGTAATTATAAAAGTGACTATAAAATATAAAAGAGAATAGTACTTCACAAAACACACACATTAAATAAAGATGGAAAAAGGAAAGTTCTCC